TCGTCCAGTTAGGGGGCATCATAATGCATTTTATCGGTGAACTTGAACATTGCAACTTTTCACGCAAGTGTCAAGTGACTGCTCTCACCCCTACCCCCTAGGCTGGCCAACACTCTCCTCCTGCTCAGAGTTACCTTAGCGTTCAGGAATAATTACATCGCGATGTCCCTCCCCCTTACTGGAATAGACCCTAAAACTTTACTCGCAGCTTTTACCCCAGAGACCAAGAACAGAGTTTTGAAGAATAGAAACTTGTCCGATCATTACAACTGACGCTAGGCTCATTTTTGGAAGCAACGCTTCCTGATATCGAAATGCTGCAGCAGCAATGGGCGCCGCTAACTGTCCTCGTCCTGATCAGGCCCTGAGTCGTGTACCATGGGCCGAGAGGTGGGTGGAAATGAGGGGTTGATGGACTCGAACTACTTGAACCTGGTCCTCTAACCCTTTCGGACCTGAATTTTTCCCGTGTGGAAAATTTCTCTTCTAGCTATTGTTTATTACTTGTGAGCATATAAATATCATTATGGCGAAATTTGGAAGCTATTCGATCACAAACAAAGAAACTAAGAAGCTTTGAAAAATTGGCCCACCTTCTTAGTTTCTAAGCTTAATGTCGAAACTATTTTCAAACTTTCTTAGTTACATCGAAAAAGGTTATTGTCTTGCTCAACATTATATCTAAGTTTTGATAAGAAATTGAATATATATCAAGTATTTTTGAAATGAATGATACTTACCTAGCGCCGCTGCTCAGACAGTTTCATGTTCACTTCTAAACACATCAGTACCATCTGCTGGTTAAGGCATAATTAGGTAGGGGAAGGTTGTCTGAAGTAACTTATAGCACTGGATATCGAAACATGCACTTGCGCTGGTAATGTAGACCTTCAAATTTGATGGTGGCAATGGCCACCTCCAGGTCCGGAAGGGTTAAGCCGCCTCAACTCGATGCTATCGTCTGCGCTCTCTCCCCTTACCAGCGGCTTATGACCACTGTGACCTCACACATTCAAACTTTCGCCACACTGCAGTTGGCTCACCCACTTTGAAGTTCCTCCCTTGCGAAGCTTAGTCTTAAAGCCCTAACCACCTTCCTTGAGATGTGGTACCCAGCCAGGCGCCCTTCTCTTGCTCTCCGTCATTCGTGGTACCATGGAAAAATTAAAGTAGTCGGTAAACCGAAGTAGGTAGGCCCGTAATTCTTCTCACCCACTCGCCTTCAACTCAGGCCTAATTAGGTGCGAAGGAATAAGTCTACTATGTGCACGTGTCTATAAGATGATTTAGGGGAGGTTTAGAGGAAATTATTACTACAGAAATTTAATTATACAAATGATAAGAAAGAAAAAATGCACAGGAAAGGATTTTAATTTTGTTGACAACATATCTCGATATTCTACTGCACTAGACAATTTATTTTTGTCTACGAAATCGAGAATTCGTCATTTCACGTCAAATTAACCACCCCTCCAGGTCGAGTAATCGGTACCAGACTTGTCTGGAATTGTAGAACTACCGGCTTTTCTCATCGGCTGATGTCCGCAAGTTATTGGATGCATTCAAATCATCTTCAAAATGACCCTGTGGACTCTGAAAGCAGAATGCAAGGGATTGACTAACGCAGATATTAATCCTTCATCGGTTATTGCTATTTGAAGATTTACCCTCGCCTTCAAATGACCAGAAATTGTGCAATTGCAGAAATTGACGTGGCATTAACGTGGCATCGATTCAAGAACATCTTTGAGCACACGTGATGTCACCTTTTCATCGAGAATTTAGCCACGTGTGCCAATGCCACGTCAATTTCTGCAATTGCACAATTTCTGGTCATTTGAAGGCGAGGGTTGTGACACTTCTTTTCGTAGAAATATTCCATTGAAAGCCAGCGTCATTTCTTGAAAAATCATGGTCCTTAGCCTCACACCTTGGTTACCTGACATTGCGTCACAGACCTATCATGATTTTGAAGCGACACAACACACACCTATTTACCTCGACCGAGCTGCTGTAATTGCAGACTTAGTTACCTAAGTGGCATCAGTTATCGTGAATAGCATCAAAAAGCACACGTGAGGGGAAAAGGGGGTGGAGGGAAAAGTCACTTTGCTTTCGGCCAGCGCGGCCCAGCGCTGCGGTTAAATTTTACGCGAAGGACGCCATGACAGGCCAATGCGATCAGGCTGATCACAATGCGAGGAGGCCACTTCTTGGAGTTCATGCAAGATCTAGTCCGCCGATTCAGGTAAAGTTTTTTTCTCAAAGATTTCTGGGTCAATTGGAATGCATCAAGCTGGATTTGGTGTGACACTGTGTAGCAGGAGTCCACATTTTACTACGAAGGGTAATGCGATCACCCTGGGTATGATCAGTTGGTGATTGTGAGCGTATGTAAGCTGGCAAACTTGGCAAGGTCCGAAGAGTTCGTCATAGTGGAGGCCGGGAACCTATGGGTTAACCTAAATATAAGTCCTATAAAAAAGGATGCTTGCCTTTCTAATGCCCACGGTTTCAAAGGCAATGGTTACGATAAAGTGGATGCGCACCAAAGAGGAATATGCGTCAATGCAAGCGGTGGCTAGACGGAGGGGGGGGGGAAGGGATGCGAACGGTAGACTTTTCGTGACGTGAAGAGCGCTAGTTGTGGCGCCAGCCTAAAAACAGCTCCGTCCCAACATCACTCCAACTACAAGTGAGGTCATGCGAGACGGCTATATTCTCTAATCAGTTTTGATTTTGTTAGCGCACCTTATATCGAGCCATATTTTGCAACTCTGCCGTGTTATGCATCCCTTCAGACTGCCCTTGGCCAATCAGGCAATTCTAACTCGTAAACTCGTCCGCGAAGAATGAACGAAACAAGCGTGGCCTTGTACGGACTTTTGGCGATTTTTCTACTTGTTTGACCATTGGGACGCGTTTTAGCATCCCCACTTCCATTCTGAACCCACCCAGGAAATCCATACTCATTGCCTTTAAGGCTCTTGAATTGTCTCAACTTAAAATGGTCTATTTCGCACTCAAAACCTTTACTTTTTCACGAAAGACTACACTACAACGTGATGTTACGATTGTTTCAGATGGGGATGCCAGCGATTCCATCCCTGGCCGAGCGCCTTTTCACATGGCTATTGTATTTAATTCGTTGTTACGTAATTGTCGTCTTTATCCTGCCGTTGAGCTTCATCTACAATCTTTTGCTAATCGTGAGGAACAAATTCGTTTACACGATTGGTTCGGCTCCACGAGCTCATGCTCGGAAAGTGACAGCAATTCAGAGACAGGTGAGCACCTCGAGCGCCTCGCCTTTTTTCAGTTGACAGATTGTCTCTCAAATTTAATTAAAGGTACATCAATGGTCACAAAGCAATCGGCGAACGAAGATGTATCCAGTACATTATAATTTATTGAATTCTATATTACGCCCTCCTAACAAAGAAGTGACCCCAATCTACATCGACACCCTAATGGATATTCTTGAGGTACATTAGGTGACAACATTGGCGCCAGTTGGTCCTGAAGTTGAATAAATTAATTCCAGATTAACCGGGAAGCTTTGACTGTCCGTGTTGAGCCAATGATCACCATGAGTGAGCTCTCACGGGTACTGATCCCTGAAGGCTTGCGTTAAAGCACGAGTGGGAACTAGATCGAGTTGAACTACGAATGAAAGATTGATAGTGTTAAAAAAGATTAAGCAAGAATTGTGCTAAGAATGAAAAAGGATGAGTGTAATATATACAGCTATAACTATGATTCTACTTTTACTCGAGGAGTGCGACATTTGTATCTACGTCTTGAGTGGATTGTTTGACCATTCCAACACTATGTTTCAGTGGCTACGTCACACCGTAGTATAAATTACTCAGCCTCCTATCTTTGCTCTGTACACTCAAGTATAACTGTAACGACCAAAGATAACTTTTTCTCTGCGTATTAGTAATACATAAGTGTCTATTACATGTAACCTTAGTACTGTAAGTGAATAGACTGCAGCAATTAATGCAATTCGATACAGCAGTCTTTCTCGAGACTAAATTATCCTCATTTTTGGGATGAGCGGCACGCAAATCAAAAACCGGCTCATTCTTGTGAGCGAGTGATCTGCATATGCGGGTACCTCTACGGTAAATGCACTTGACAAGTAAGAAGCCCATTATAGCAAAGCACTTCTATTCCTCTGCAGGGACCACCGAATGTACAAGTCAGTGTTTTTATCCTCTAGACAGCTGCTAACGAAGTAGTCGCTAGGAAGAACATAGTTATACGTTCGACACCTTAGTGAGTATTCGAGGGATTGGATAATTCAGTGCTTGGTGCTCCGACGACCTCTAAACACACCGCTAGTGATTGATCCCGACCGTTCGGTGGTAAGCGTCCCACTTGCCAATAACACATACCACTCACTTTCACGCCCATAAATCATTCCAAGATCTATATAGCATTAACAATTCCTTAGTGAACGTCGATGCCTCTGAGAGAGGTCAGATACATTTCCGTTCTTCACCGTGTGTGGTTGCAACCAAATTGATACTCCCACTTTCGGCTTGCCTACTTGAAGCAGTTCTTGAGAATTTGTTATATGCCTCTTTCGGACGACGTAAGCAAACCTAGCCTTGTTGCTCTTCAGCTGGGACAGTATGCTGATGGATGAAGTCCCGACGGTGACGGACACTCAAAGGCATTAGAACCGCCGACAATTTGGTGCTTACCTAAATTAAGCCTATAAGAGAGCCGGGTCGTCCTTCTCCTTAGTCCCTGGGTAGAAAACCACCCTTCTGGCGGAGTGCATGTGACCAGTGCACGCTTGCGTCAGCAATTCTCTATACCACCAACGATTGGAAGTAATACCGCCGACCGCGGGACTCCATCCTCCCCACCTTCAGTCATACGCTCCAGCCGAAACGCAAAGCTGGTTATTACCTCCTTTAAGGCATCTCGCCATAATAGATCTCAGCACTGTGACTCGCACATAATCCAGCGTTACTATCACGTCACGCGCTCCATCTTCCCGCCCCAATCTGACCCCCCTGCTCACAGATTTATTTGCTACATTTCGAGGCTGAAACAGTCAGCTGCCTTTCTGGCTTGCATCGAGTCTTTTCCGACAAAGAGCATGAAGAATAGTGCAAGTAGTCATGTTAACCAACGCGCCCACACGGCTTATTCGTGTGGCCTACAGCATTCTGGGGAGTCATTTCACAGCGAAAGCAGCTTTAATTTTTTACCCAATTCAGTGAGACTGCATCGTATAGAGTAAAATGCATACTGTTGAGGAAAACGCTAGTGATTTCTTGAAAAAAAAAGCTGAGAATTTACGTGAGTCAATTCTAGTGCCAACTGATCGATCTCGGAGCTTCGTTGGCTCGGCAGGACAGATTGGAGATTGACCTCCGTTTGCCACTAGACGCCATTTGCCATTTGCCGCTAAACCACCCCCACCTTCCCTCCCCCCTAAATGATACATGAATTGAAATATGACAATTTCTTTTCGAGTACAACAACTTTTCAGATGCGATAAATGGTCGAGGAGCAGATGTGTCTGGTAGAAAGTACGGTTTATTCCAACACATCTGTCTATCTTATGAGCTTGTAATGCCCGATGGAAGCGTTGTCACCGCTTCAAAGGTTGGTTAGCTATCAAGGCACGTCCAAATGCTTTTGCTCCCACCCAAGGGTGGAGCAGCTCTAGCGTGGATGACATGGTGCAGGAAAGGCAGGAGGTGTGGAGTGTAGGACATCCACCGGCCCGGATGAAAAGTGCATTTCAAATAAAACGTCGACATATCAATATCTTATGCTTATTAGGAACCCGAAACATTGCTCTCTGTGACCAAGGATAAGATAGTAAGGGGTGTCCCTCCCCCGAACATTTTCGCCGTGGTAAGCTCATAAAATTGTCCATCCTTAGGGCATTTAATTGGTAGTTTGCGAAGTCCTGTTTCTCGCAACCAGAATACGGAAAGATTGATGTACTAGGACTTGCCGCCTTCGATTACCGGAATGTATTTAATTTATAATGGTAAGATTTTATGCGAAAGGGGAGAGGTCTTTAAGTAAATATGAGATTTTTCACTCCATCTCAACTCCTCCACTGAAGAAGCTTTTTCGTTCTAAATGTAATAGATCCTCGATCGCTGTCCACAGAAATCAGATTTTCATATGCTGTTGGTATTTTTCATTATGTTTGCAGGACAAGAAAGGCGATGCCGAGACGCAGGCACTTTTCTACGGTGTTCCATGGAGTGAAGGTACACTAGGGATTATGGTGGCAGCCACTCTTCGACTGATTCCGATAAAGCCATTCGTCAAAATCACCTACTCACCGGTTCGCTCAGCTGAGGTGCGTTGATGTTTAAATGCTGATTGTTGGTAAATTTCTTCTCTCTTGACCAGGATGAGCTGTTCAAAATTGATTAACTTCTTCCTGGGTTTAATGGGATTTGACAATACATAGCAACTTGTGAAGGCCACAAGCCATGTTCGTCGCTAAGCATTTTAATCTATGAAGAACGTGGGGCGCACACTTCCCGTTAAGCAAGAGGGATGAGCGGCTTGGCAAGCATATGCGAGATTCCATATCAAAAGTGTGGCAAAGTCTTTTAACTACAGTTCTCTTATCATTGAAAAAGCACCACGATTGTGTTGGAGGCCAGAGAAGGGGAGACCCACCTAGTGGAAGGACAGGCGGACACTCTCTAAGGGTGGTGAACTCTGCGCATTTCGCATCAAGATATCATCGGCGATGTGCAGCTGTTCCTCGCGCGATTACGCCGCGGCACGCCCACTCTTCGCCGCTAGCCTCCATGAGAGGAGCAGAGAGCGTACGAATGTCACATTCTACTCAGCTGTATTACAATAGAGATGTGTAAGCAGAAAGTATTAGCGGACGGATTACTAGATTGCTTATCTTCAGTACTTTTATGGTTTATTAGGGACTGATTCTTTAACCACTATAGAGGGGGTTTTAGCAGGGTCAACTGTTCGTCCGGCCGATCCAGACTGGAGTCATGTCTGCGATTATTGGAAAGGGGTCCATTTTTTTACATTGTAGGGGTATCGTTTTTGATTTTGACTTCTTCAGCTTTTGACAAATTGATAGAAATTAGGCAAATGGGCAAAATTAGATCGCTTGCCATTTCTGATATTATCAAGCTCTCCCTGTTCCCTGTCGACCGGCATTTTGAAGGGACAGCGGGCGGAGTCGCGTCTGGTCATTCTGTAAAACAGTCGTGATGATGAAGGGCATGTGTACGAGCCATGAAGGTGGTCGGGGGTGGAAGAAGAAGCGCAGATGTCCTCTTTCACTGGAGGCGGTAGGAGTTCGTATCGAGGCCATCTAAGGGGAGGTCTGAAACCCTCCACTTTTTAGAGTGAATGGTAATGATTCAGCCCGGTTTACGTTGAAAACGAGGCAAACTTTTTGTTCCTCACCGTGTCGCCAAACACTGACAGTTTAAAAGGATTGCTCTTCAAGCTTCTATACTACTTTTACGGCCGCCACAGCGCTTCAATAGGGTGTGGAGCCTAAAAAATTGAATAGCGCACCTTTATTTTCTCAACACTGCGAGACATAGAGTCAAACCTATGTTTATCTTTTACTTCTAATCACTATTGAGATTTTTCAAATTGTTAATGATCTATTTTGGAAAATGTAGTACTCTAATCTGGAGACTTTTTTTCGAGAAAAAAAATTGAAATTTCAGGAAATGCAATCAAAGCTCACTGAAGAAAGCCAATGCCGAGAGAATGAGTTTGTCGAAGGAATGCAGTTCTCGCCGAGTTCCGGCGTAGTTCTGCGTGGAAGGTTCGTTGCTGGTTAAACCACCAACCTCCAGAATCTAAACCTAATTTTTAGGTTTTCTGAAGGACCTCCTAAAAACTGGGGAGCTGCAAATAGAATCGGCAGATGGTACAAACCATGGTACTACACTCATGTTCAAAGCATAATTAATACTACTAAGGTAAGTGCAAGAAATTTTTTAGAATGTAATCTAAAAGGCAAAAAGGTAAAGGTATAGGTAGGGTTCGAGTCAGAGAACATCTTGTGGGTGTGTCATGTTCGGAACCTTTGAATATTTTCGTATATCCATTTGGATTTAATTTGATCACGTTGGATGGGTTGTATTCCAAGTAGGTGTTCTTCACGGGTGTTTTTGCTCTTTAATCTACTCCGACATCGATTATCTAGAAGCTGGATTAGGTAGCTACCAGAGAGGCTCTGCTGTTCTGGAAAAGGATCTGACCCAGCAGATCATACGTGTACTCATAGTGTCGTGAATGGTCAGCCCGCTCCTCGACGCCCTTATCTCCAGCCAGGGCTTCCCGTCGACGCACTACGCTGCTCCTGCGCAGGAGGAGCGGATCCATCATCCAGGGGACTCAGGGAGCGCCCGCCGCGGCTCAGCCTACCCTGATAGTAACCGGAACGGGCTTAGCAAGCTGTGCAGCTCTACTGCCGCTGATACACACAAATACAACAGACCCAGATATGGGGCGGTATTCAATCCTTCCCCCAGGGGGATATATCCCCCTACTCTGATTCAATCCTCTGGGGGGACAAAAAAGGGTTGCGTCATAGGACCTAGCATACCTCTGTGTTTCTACCTGCCAGACAGTTAGAGCAGCGCGACCCCTCAGGGGAAAGAGTGCTTCATCAGTGGAGGGTAGTAGCGCTGCTCTAACTGTCTGGCAGGTAGAAACACAGAGGTATGCTAGGTCCTATGACGCAACCCTTTTTTTGTCCCCCATATAACTGAATCAGAGGAGGGATATACTGGTTTGGCGAAGGATTGAATACCGCTCACGATCTAAGGCCGGCCATGATGAGAGAGCGCATTGGAAAACCGATGCCGCGTGTTTCGGCCGGCGCGCTTCAAGCAACATCTCACGGTGGACTCCCGTGATAGCACCATACTGCAATCAAACCAATGCAAGGAGTGAGATAATCCGTAAGACTAATGATGCGTTGATGTCTTCAGATGCCTTCAAATGAACATGAATTACTTCCAAACTTCCAACAATTTCAGCAGGAATATACTGAATTTGTTCCACTGCGAGATTTCTATCATCGCCATTCGAAGAGCCTTTATTGGGAACTTAAGGTCAGAGATTTAGCCAATACTTATAACTTTTCTGGCTCAAGGCCTTAATTTGACGGCTAAGTTTTCAGGATTACATTCCGTTCGGCAACACTTTACTTTTCCGATTGTATTTCGGCTATATGTGTCCTCCTAACGTCGATCTGATGAAGGTAGGATTTGTTTGGTTGTGAACGACCGTCGACCATCAGAAAATGTTGATCTGGTATAATTGCTCTTGAAATTTTCTGCTCATGGTTATTATCTCAGATGTTCAATCCTACCGTGATGAGCTCAAGATTTGACAAAGGCCGTGTACGACATGATTTTCTCATTCCCATGGAACACCTCGACGAAGCCATGGAAGTCTGCGATAAAGAGCTCGAGGTCTGGTTGAACTTTCTGAGCTAATTCCATAAGAATTCGAATAAATTGGGTCCAATATCTTTATAACCCCAAACGTATCCTCCGCCTTTGAGCAAGAACATAGTTGCTCTTATGGTTAGAATGGGAATTATGGAATAGGAGGCCCTACTGCAAGGAAACTGTAACGTGAAAAACCCAACACCCCATATTAAATTTAAGGGCCGCAGCGGTCAATATGGAGTGATGGATGTCGAACAGACTGAAAATGAAAAGCAAACAAACGATAAAGCCGTTTACAACTGTCCCTCTATTCCTCCGCGAAATAAGGAAGGGGCGGGGCCAAGAGTTTTCTGAACCTGTCTGCTCCACGGCTCCACTAACCCACTCGTATTTGAATTAGTAGACACGCCGTAATCCACGCTGCGTGTCATAGGTGTGCACGAGGTATCTCGTCCATAAGTTAAGATTAGTCGCCATAAGTTCACTTTGTAAAGCCCTAGCGCCATTGTCGCGCATTTCGAGCCGCGACAACGGCACATCTGTGATACTCGTGGGCTACTCTATCCCACCCACAGAATAGATTCTTCGACACGACTCTGCTGGGTT